GTGGTTCTTTTCATAACTCAGTATATTTTACTCATATGTAAATTTACTCACATGCGCAATTTTTGTCGTATGAACTGATTTGCTCGTATGCAAATATTGCACAGTTGAGGAAATTTACACCTGGTAAAGGCATGGTGCAAATTATTTGTTGCAGATTATTATTTTAGTTTCATGCTGTAAATTTTGTCGTATGAACACGCAGCAAATTTACTTATGAATGTCTTTTAGTTTGTTTATTGCAGAAAATCTCAGTGTTAAGTATTGTTTCCGTTGTGTATGCATTGTTGTGTGTAAAATATCAGCCTGTAAACATAGCGAATAAAAAGCAAAACGTAAAACAAACATGGATTTTTTTCTGTTCATCCTTGTTGTACTTCAAGGACATCCATGGAAAGCCATAGCTGTCTTATGTGGCTATTTCATAGAGAAGATGGTGCTCTATTATATTTGCTGTGGTTATTTTATATGAAGATGGTGCTCTATTATATTATGCTGTGGTTATTTTATATGATGGTGCTCGATTATATTACTCCGGTATGACGTTGTTATTTTATATGAAGGGGGTGCTCTTTTATATTATGCTGTGGTTATTTTATATGAAGGGGGGTGTTCTTTTATATTATGCTGTGGTTATTTTATATGAAGATGGTGCTCTTTTATATTATGCTGTGGTTATTTTATAAAAAGATGGTGCTCTACTATATTGTGACTCCCCTTTATTATTTTTAATTTATGTTAACGAAATAGTTACTCGTGTTGACGCAGATTGTTATTTTATACGCTGATGACATTGTAATCATATCTGCACATACAAGGATCCTTGATGATTTTGTATCGGAAAAGCTTAGTAAAGTTTTAGGTAAAAATTGTCAATTGGCAAATAAGTTATTGTTGCATTTTATGCAAAAATGAATTCGTTATTTTGCTTTAAAATGTTGACAAATTACATGCTGTATGTAATACCCATAACATTGAATGTAAAAAAGCTGAATATCAGTTGGGAGTTTTGATTGACAATAGTCAACTGCATTTGTTAAATCGATTGTTCAAAAGTGAATAAAACGTTACGAACTTGTCTACCCATCAAGCCAGTTTCTTTTTTAGTTTTTTAAGATATTTTTATAAAGTAACTATGTGTTCAGCATTAATACAATCCCATATGGATTAATAATAATAATAATAAAAATAATAATAATAATATTTTATTTAGAGAAGGTGGCCTGAATCATGTTACACACTATTCTTCCTCAGGACCTTCTAATTACAACAACAATATTACATCAAAATGGCAAAGATATATAAACAACTTAGCAAATCAATTAAAATACAAGTACATTTTTGATGTCATAGGATGCTAATGATAATCATAATTAAATAACAATAATTAAAAATATATTAAGATGATATAAAAAGTTATAACATGTAATATCAGTAAGATTTTACACTATATATATATACATCTGCAAAAGATATAAATCAGAGGTAATCAAGTTCTGTTGATGAAGATATATTTTTCTACATTTCGTTTAAAGACTGGCAGACTTGGTGTACATCTTATATTCAAAGGTAAACTGTTCCAAATATGAACTCCGGAATATTGAAATGAACGTTTAAACAAAATCGTTCGGTGTTTTGGTAGGTGAAGGTCAAAATTAGGTTCTGAACGTAAAGTATACGCATTAGAAGTTTGACAAATAAATAAATCTTGCAGGTAAGAAGGGCTCTGGTTGTTAAATATTTTGTACAATAAGATACATTTATGCAAAGTTACTACGAAGTCAAAAACAGATAGCCACCCTAATTTTTCAAATAATGCCTTAGTAGGAGCATCAGGGGCAGCATCAAGTATAATTCTAGCGGCCCGTTTTACGCCTGTAGTGCGTGGTATGCAAACTTTGAAGAAGGATAAGGAGATTACAAACAGTATTCAATATCAAAGTCCATAAAACCATACAAAATAGGAGCAGAGCAAACACGGACCTTCGAAACATCAGAGGTGGGATCAGGTTCAAAGAAAAAATTACAAAGCTGTCAAAACAAAATGGTTCAATTCATTTTGAATTTAGGTCCGTAGGAATCTGTGATTTATGAAGTACTTAACCAACTTAATTTATTAAATATTCAAGATAGAGTCTCTCAGCTCAGATTCAACCATGTTTTTAATAGGTTTAAAGGAAAAGTCTCTTCTTATCTTACTGAACATTCTTTACTTCGTTCGTTGAAATTTTAGTACTTATCACACTAGATCAGCCTCAAATGCAACTTTAGTTGTAGCAGTTAAATAAAGAAGAAGAATAAACAATCTGAATTATTTAATCTTAATTGAATAAAAGCTGGAATATATTTTCCAGCAGAAATTAAACTGTTTGGAAATAATTTTGCTTTTAAAAGAAATGAATAAAGAAGAAACAAGATGTGTTTGTGAAACACTGATGCCCCCGTATGGCAACATCGTGAAAATTAAACTTTTCTTAGATGCAAAGTTGTCACAACTGACCTCAAGTTGTGATGGATTCGTTAAATCAGAATTTACAAACCAAAATAAATAATATTTTGTAAGACCTCCTGTATACCAAGAAACAACAAGATTTATAAAAATTAACAATAAATTTATCTACATATGTACAATAAACATGAAAACGGCCAAAAGTTCAATCATGGTCATCACTGAACAGATTCACACTTCACACCACGTCGCAATGTATGGTCCACCATATTGTCCCTTCCGGTCCACCATATCCCAAAAGTATCCTCACCATGTACACCAATCCTCCCGTCCAGAACAAAAGCTTAATATACAATTTTGGTCACCTACAATTTTCATAGGGTTTTCTAATAAAATGTTCGAAACACATATCTGTTCAATATACTAGATTTTACAAACAAATAACGAAAGAAAACATGTATTTGCCGTTTAACAAGTAAATGAATTAGAGCGTAAATATCTATATTCTCGCTATATTGCTTACAGTTTTACATAGAAAATTGCTCTTTAAAGCTAACAACAAAAATATTGTAAAGTATAAAAACTTACTGAGCTGTGGCATTTTATACATAAAAACCATACGCTCACCTGAGTACTTGCTCTCAACGCCGTACAAATTGGTTTATTAAGATCACACAGCAGTTAAAATCCAAAACACATCCCATGATCACATCATGGATTTGCTATTCTAAAAGAATTTTCCCATATATTTCTATGTAAAACTTTGGCGTCGGCCATTTTGACACACACTAGCCAACACCCAGTATAAATGACTGACCAAACTACTCAAACGGGTTACCTGAGGATACGTTGATATAAATTTGAACAAATACAACTCTGTCATTCTTGATAAAATAAGATTTAATGCCAAAATAAAGAATTTACCAAATCCTGTATATTTTTATGTAAAACTTTGGTCACAATGTCACTTGTGCCCCGCCCTACCCCCGGGGTCTTAAGACACAAACTGCAATTTTGTGACATAAATGAAAAACTATGTACACAACAAAGTCTTTATGAACAAGAACTTACTTCAGGAACAACACGACTGAGAAAATCAGCTCCATATGTTATCTACACCTCTAATAACTTCAGTCTAAAGTTGAACGCTTGTAGAAAAAGAGACCATCTCATCAATCTGCTGTTTGAAACTTTAGTCTTCTGTAAATGAAGTAGTGATCTATGATCTGTCTCCACAACAAACGCTCTTCCATACAAGTAAGACTGAAATTTCTGTATAGCCCATACGACTGCAAGACACTCTTTCTCCACAACCGAATAACGTTGTTCTCTGTCTAGCAGCTTCCGGCTTGCATACGCAACTGGAAATGTACGTCCATCATGCTTCTGCATCAGCACTGCACCAACTCCATGATTAGATGCACCCTTATAAATTTGATGAATTATGGATCTGTCATTCTTATAGCAACATGGATTTTAAACTCTTAAATGATATATGTTCTTGTTTCCAGTCAAATTTGTTTGGAACATTTCTTGGTTAAGTCAGTTAAAGGAGCAGCAATATGGATTTGGCACAAATTTTCTTAATAGCTTCACTACCTGGAATGCTTCTTTGTCTCTTTGATGAATTATGGCTCTGTCATTCTTGTTGAAGAAGATTTTTAAAGAATTTTCCTAATATTTCTATGTAAAACTTCCATTTTGGCCCATGTTCTGGGGGTCATGATTTGAACTCTTGGAGGATCTCACATTTGGAGGGTTCTTGCTGTTAAAACATGCCACCAAATTTCATGTAATTCCCAATTATCTCCCCTTGAATGAGGGCGTGGCCCTTCCAGCACTTTTCTCAGTGAAAAGTTTACAGACAGACAGGTTAAGTCAGTTAAAGGAAAATGTGATCAGCTCAGAAAATTTCTGTGGGTGCTTGAGATACATAAAAACCATCAACCAAGGAAAGATCATAACCTGCTCCCAAGATCACACAGCAGTCACACCCAAGTTCACACACCTTTTATATAAATGCACATTTTCATGGGTAAAGTATAACTCACAGCGTCTTACACTTCTAGACCAAACTGGTATTTTTACAACTGTACCGTGCGTAAATGGGCTCCTCTGCTAAATTAAAGATACACATGACCCAAGTGACAATACCTCCCTTCTCAAAATGCAATTTTGTGTTAAAAACTATGTACACAACAAAGTCTTTATGAACAAGAACTTACTCTCACGACTGAGAAAATCAGCTCCATTCTTCAGTAACGGAATAGACCATCTCATGCTGTTTGAAACTTGTCTTTTGTAAATGAAGTAGTGATCTAAACCTTCTGTATAGTTTCTACAACTGCAATGACAACCGAATAACGTTGTTCTCTTCTCGGATCTGGAAATTCTCATGCTTCTGCATCAGCACTGCACCAACTCCATGATTAGATGCATTTAAGATGAATCTTCGTCAAATCTGGAATCTGAGAATTGGGCATAACAACTGGATAAACTTTTTTCCTATTTGGAATTTTGGTTAAGTCAGTCATAGATTTCATCAAGATCTAACCTGGGAACTTCTTGTTGGTTGCCTCCTCCAATAACATGGATCCACTTACAACTTTTCTCAGTTCTGTAATATGTTCTTCAAAAGTTTCTCTGGTGTTAAAAATATCAGTATGCTCTATGGAATTCTCCTCATTAGCCTGTTAAAAGTGTTATTTTAAAAAGTAAGAAATTCTTTAAATCTCTGGTGTTAAAAATGATGTTAAATCTCTGTCTTCTTCTCTCATGAAAATCCAATAACCCTTACATAAATCTGATGAAACGACTATTGCTTATTTTATCATGATTTCATCTGGATCTGGCATTGGTTCTGGATCAAAAATCGTTACCTTATTCAAGTTACGAAAATCCACACATATTCTCTGGCTACCATAGGACTTCTTTGCCACGACAATCGAACTAGCATACGGTGATTCTGATGGTTCGATGATATCCATGTCAATCATATGCTGTATTTCTTCTCGGACTGCACTTCTGACTGCATACGGTATCTGATATGGTCTGTTTCTGATTGGTTCTTTGGTAGTGAGATGAACTTCATGCTGGATAACATTCGTTCTACCAGGTAGATCTGTTAAAACTTCCTGAAATTCATGTAAGACATCATTAATGGATTCAAGCTGATCTGATGACAGTGAATGATTTACCTTAACATCTGTGAATGATTCTGTTGCCTTCATTGGAAGAAGATGTAACAAATGTTCATTACTGGAGTCCTCTGTTTCCTCCGATTCCAAAACGACACAAGAGGCTAAAGTTGTTGGCGAGTCTGTATTCCTTTCCTCTCGAACATTGTATTTCTTCAATAAATTTGCATGAAACAAACGAATATGTCCATTCATATCTATCTGGTAATCAGTTTGTCCTTTTCTATCAACTACTTTGAAAGGTCCTTTCCACTGCATTAAAAGTTTGTTATGGTCTGTTGGAAGCAAAAGAAGAACGAAATCACCAACCTTGAAAGATCTCGGCTTTGTCCTTTTATCATACTGTTTCTTGTAATGGTCTTTAGACTTCTGAAGTTCTTTCTGAGCCAGCTCACACGTTCTTGCTAGTCGCTCCTTAAGGTCAAGCACATACTGGTAAGTAGTTTTCACTTCCGGGTCCTTCTCCTCCTTTGTCCACAGTTCTTTCAAAACTGCCATAGGTCCCCTAACATTACGTGCATAAACTAGATCAAATGGAGAAAATTTAGTGCTTTCTTGTGGAACTTCTCGATAAGCAAATAACAATGCTGGTAAATATCTATCCCAGTCTTTTGGTCTTTCAGAACTCATTTTCCTTAACATTGACTTCAAAGTACCATTGAACTTTTCTACTAGTCCATTACATGCTGGATGGTATGGAGTTGTTACTAATTGCTTAAATGATAAAAGTCGACCCACCTCTTTCATGATGTTGGAGGTAAATTGCGTACCCATGTCCGACAGAACTTCTTTTGGAATGCCAACTCTGCTGAATATCTCTACCAACGCTTCTGCCACCGTCTCTGTATCGATGTTCTTCAATGCAACCGCCTCTGGATACCTAGTACTGTAATCTACAACAGTCAAAATATATCTATTGCCTTTGTCAGTAATTGGAGAAAGCGGACCTACCAAATCTACGGCTACCCGTTCAAATGGTGTATCAATAAGTGGCATTTTCTCCAACGGAACCTTCGTCACTTTGCCTTTAGGAAATGTTCTTTGGCATATGTCACATGATTGGCAATATCTCGTCACGTCACCCTGGATTCCAGGCCAATAGAAATTCGACATGATGCGGTCTAGAGTCTTCTTTGTACCAAGATGTCCACCTAGGATACTGTCGTGCGCAATCTTCATAACTTTCTGTCGCAAAGATTCTGGAACAACAAGTTGTTTATACAGTTCATCATCACTAACCTTTTTTGAATAATGATGTCTGTACAACAGTCCTCTTTCAACACTAAACCATGTCTCTATATTTTCGCCAATGTTCTTCTTTCTGCCAGTCGCTGCATGCTCACGATACACTTTCAAGGAAGAATCATCCATCTGCAGTTGTTTCATCTGATCAATTGTCATATCAGTATCCACTAAATCTGTAACTCTTAGCTTTTTCATACCTTTCTCTTCTTTTTTCTTTTGATTCCTTGTCTGTACTGCTTGAAGAACTTGACTACACTCTTCTCTTTCGTCCTTTCTACACCACTGTGGATCAGGATCCGTCTGATTTTTGGCACAATCGATGTTACCTATAATAAGATCGTAAACAGGTTCTTTCATACATAGAGCATTGATATTACCTGTGAAATAGGGAGTGTCGACATAGATGGAAGCCTCCTCTACTGTACGAACTGTGCCGTCTATCAGAACACATTTCTGCACTTGCCCAGTCAGCTGATCATCTGTAACCAAATCTCTCTTCACAACACCCACTACAACCTGAGTCTCTTAATACTTTAACAAAGTTCTCACCGACATAACCCATAGCAACGGGCATCTTTTCACAAACCTTGCAGACGCCTCCAATAACAGGTAATATGTGTCCACACGCGAGTTTTACAAGTCCATCTGTGACACAACACTGCAACAGTTTATGTTTGAGAATGCATGCTGATCCTATGTGAGGCTGATTTTGATGCGATATAGCATTGTCCGTCTTGACTTCAGCAGAATTCTGTAAGCTGGAACTAGAATTGTCATTAGATTTTATGCAATTCAACTCACAGTTATGTTGATTCTGTAACATCGCAGCCTTTTGAGTATTGTGCGAAGTAGGTACTGCACGAGGAATTTTCTGCTTGGAGAAACAGTTTCTTGCCAAATGACCACTTTTCCCACAGATGTAACATTTTCTCTCACCATTTTGCTGTGGTGATCCTTGGTACGCCTGTTGCTTTTGAAAGGATCCACTGCTGTTACCCTGAACACTGGAAATACTTGGAGGTTGCCTCTGAAAAACTTGTAAGTCTTTAGTGAATGAAGTATAACCATGGGCTTCAATAAATTGGTCTGCGAGATTTGACATTTCTTCTACGTTTTTCGGATGTCTTTCTTTAAGATACATTCCCAACTGCTTACTACAACTGTTTAAAAACTGTTCTCTTAAACACAAATCTTTAAGACCGTCATATGTTTTAGGACTATCTGCTAAAGACAACCATTTCTCTACATAATTGTTCAGCCTAGCAAAGAATTGTGAAGGATTCTCACCCTGTTCTGGTCTGCTGGAACGGAACTTGACTCGAAACCCTTTTTCTGTCAGTTGAAAACGCCTTAACAACGCCTGTTTCAAGGAACCATAATTCAGAGCCTCTGAAACTGGAAGTCTAGAATACACCTCAAGAGCTTTACCTTTCAGGAGAGCACTAAGATTAATCGCCCATGAAGACTGTTCCCACTTAGCACACGAAGCAAACCTTTCGAATCTCTGTAAATATGAATCAATACAATCTTTAGATTCATCAAACGGAGGTAACTTTGGCAACTTAGCAAGCGATTGAGAAGCAAGACCTAATGGACCTACAGCTAATTCTCCAGCTTTTAATTTTTGTAATTCAGTTTCTTTCTTAAGTTTTTCTAATTCAATTTCGCTCTCAATCTTTCTCGCTTCTCTCTCTGCTGCCCTTTCCATCCTTTCAAAATATTCTCTCTCTTTTCTGTCAACAAACTCTTGTAACTCAGTTCCTTGCAAACCTAACTTTTCTCCTAATTGTACATACTCCATTGTTACAATATGCAACGCAACAACAAACAACAAATGTGAAAATAAGAAAATAACAAAATGCATATGAAAAAAAAATAGTTTGTACAAAACCTGCGAAAAAAAAATAATTCAAACAATAGAAATCTTTTTCAACTAAAGCATTTTCTACAAAACGTGAAAATAATGCAGGTATACTTGGTAACAGGAAGTCTATCCCACCGCTGCCACCAAAAATGTCACAACTGACCTCAAGTTGTGTTGGGTTCTTTAAATTCGTATTAACAACCCAAAATACATAATATTTTGTAAGACCTCCTGTATACCAAGAAACAACAAGATTTATAAAAATTAACAATAAATTTATCTACATATGTACAATAAATATCAAATCGGCCAAAAGTTCAATCATGGTCATCACTGGACAGATTCACACTTCACACCACGTCGCAATATATGGTCCACCATATTGTCCCTTCCGGTCCACCATATCCCAAAAGTATCCTCACCATGTACACCAATCCTCCCGTCCAGAACAAAAGCTTAATATACAATTTTGGTCACCTACAATTTTCATAGGGTTTTCTAATAAAATGTTCGAAACACATATCTGTTCAATATACAGGGAAACCTGTCTAATCCGACATGCTCTGGGAGACAAATTATGTGTCAATATACTAGATTTTACAAACAAATCGGAATTCAGGTGTCGGAAGAAAACATAACGTGTATTTGCCGTTTAACAAGTAAATGAATTAGAGCGTAAATATCTATATTCTCGCTATATTGCTTACAGTTTTACATAGAAAATTGCTCTTTAAAGCTAACAACAAAAATATTGTAAAGTATAAAAACTTACTGAGCTGTGGCATTTTATACATAAAAACAATACTGTCGGCCCCCAGGTCTTGCTCTCAACGCCGCTACAAAACATCCCTGAATCCCAAGATCACACAGCAGGGGAAGCAGCTAAAACACACCCAAGTTCACACAGCATAGGTTATATAAAGGCACACCCAAGATCACTAAGCATGGGTAAAGTATAACTCACGGCGTCCAGTCCTCATCTGACACACACTAGCCAACACCCAGTATAAATAACTGACCAAACTACTCAAACGGGTTCGACGAGTATACGTTGATAAAAATAGAACAAATACAACTCAGTGACCAATAGTGCGTAAATGAAATAAACGATAACTCCTAATGCCAAAATAAAGATAACTCTTACCAAATCCTGTACAATAAGCTAATATTAAACATTGACACAATGTCACTTGTGACAATAGGGTCTACTAACTGGAAAATACAATTGTAAAACATGAAAGCCCTATCACCATCTGTTCCCAAGTTATTGTCAGGCTAAAGTTTGTCCATAAGTACATAAATCTTCAAGATCAAAGTCATAAGGTCAAGATTATTGGTATCCAATGAAAAGGTATTTCCACAAGGATCACATATTTTCAGTATGGAAGCCCTAGCCCTAACCATTCAAAATTTATGGCAAAGGTTAAAAAAAATTATAGTATGTAAACTCCAAGATTAAGGTCAGAAGGTCAAGGTTATTGGTATTGAATGAAAGGTCTTGTCAGAAGAATTACATATGTGAAGTATGAAAGCCATAGCCCTTACTCTGCGAAAAAGTTCTGCCAAGGTTAATTTTTTTTTTAAGTCCGGAAATCTCCAAGGTCAAGGTCAAAAGGTGAGAGGTTATTGGCATCCTATGATTGCTCTTGCTACAAAGAATACGTATGTGATGTATCGTCAAAGAACATAAAACACACTTTTGGGTGGGTGGATCCAATTTGCAATTGGATTGTGGCTGTGTTTTATATTCTTTTACCCACCTTTTTTGATAGCAGGCAGCAATGTAGCACATTTATTTTCATGTATGTTTAGAATTTTTTATGTTTAATAGGGGGTCAACTGAAGATATATAATATGTATATTATACATGACAATGTTTTTTCCAGGTTTTGATTTCTTAATTAGTCTGCTGGTTGACCCCCTTTTTTCTATTATATATCATTTACAATGACATTATGGTGCTGGGGGTCAGATTATGCAATATTGTGATAAAGATATGTAATATTTTATATTTAAGTCCCCTTCCTGACCCCCTTTCTTATACTGTAAATATGTTTTACTACTTTTACGTCATTTACTTCAATAAATGACATTTTTCACTTCAATGACATTTTTTTGTTTGTTGTTTGTTTTTGCCTGCTTTAGCCAAAAAACAAGCTCAGTTTTTGGCAGGAGAACTAAGGAACATAAATAAGTTA